GCCCCCTCCCATATGCCCCCACTATATTGTAATATAGCCAGGACAGATCCCAACAGAAGCCAAACAGGTGGATCTGTGGATCTTTGATTTTCAATTCCTCTGAACATAAGCTAAATAAACCTCATTTTAAAATAAAGTGTCAGCATCAGATATTCTGTGATAGCAATAAAAAATGAACTGATATTCTGCACCTTCTTAGTATTTGTTGTCTCTACTACATGTCTGGTAAGAAGAAATCTCTGAGTTTGCGAATACTCATGGTATAACACCTCCTTCCCAGCAATGACTAGTAATACCAGTGGGCATCAGTTATTGTCATATCCCTAGTGTGGTGCCAGGAGATTGGTGTGCCACCATAGGATCTGTACAGCAGGCATATCCAGGGACCCAATCCCATTCATTCCAGAGACAAAGCTACATACTGGGGGTTGGGGGGCTAAGTCCCAGAGAACTGTAGTGACTTGACCAAGAGGTACTGTGGTTTCATGGCAGATCTGGAACTGACTCTAGCCCTCCCCACTGTGTTCTGAGATCAGAGAGGCCCAGGTGATTTGGGTCAGTTTTCACACTTCTTTGAGTTTCAATTTCCTCATGCACAGAACGGTAGAACAACATCTTCCAAACGGGATGGCTGTGAAGACTGTGTAGGTGTGGTTGCTTGTCCCACTCAGGAACTCCTGGTCTCTACTCCCCCACAGTCAAGGTTCTTTCTGGGACATTTATCATGTGTACTTGTTTCATATGTATGAGGGTTTAGAATGGATTCCCTCCTAATAATTAGGGTGCTTTTAATTATGTGTAAATTTGGGTGCCTGTATGTTTGTGCATGTGTGAGTACAGTGCCTGCAGAGGCCAGAAGAGGGCACTGGATCCCCTGGAGATGGAGTTATAGGCAGTTGTAAGCTGTCCAATATGGGTGTTGGAAACTGAACTCAGGTCCTCTGCAAGAGCAGCCAGTGCTCTTGACTGCTGAGCCATCTCTCGAGCCCTGATTAATGTGTTCTGTGTGGGAAACTATTACTAAGCAGCATCTACCATTGGAGAAACAAGAAATAAACATGGCCAGTTACACAACATAAGGATGAAGGCCAAGTGGACACAGGTACCCCTGGCATTCATGGATGGGAGATACTGGAAGGAACTAGATTCTCTGGAAATGCTATTGGAAGGAATCGGGCTCTTGTGGTGCATGTCTGAGTTCCCAGCATGTGAGACATACTCCCTAAACTGAACTGAACTGGTGACCACCATGTGGCCTGAGTTATTCAGAAAGGAACTTTTCCTTTCCTTTATTTTCCTGTGATCCTCTACTCCCTGCATGGCATGCCTCAGATGGGTGCTGAGTTCACACACATGGTCCAGTTCGGGGGTCAGCCTTGGCTGGTGCTCCCTCTAGTGGGCAGACCATGCCACATCACCAGGCTGCAGACATTTTTCAAACATTCCCTCTCCCAGACCCTCCTTTCGATCTACCTCCTGCTGCATTCCCCACCTACAGCCAAGCCCTCAAGCTTGGTCTTCTCTGTCTCTGTGACTGGCTCTTGATTAAACCTCACTGAACATCGGGTACTCTCTGGTTCCTGGATCCCAGGAGTATCTCTTTCTGAGACCTATCAGCTACCTAGGCACTCTCTGGACCCTGGGAATGCCTCCAGGCACACAATTCACACCTGCATGTCCTTGAGCCCAAGTGTCCAAAGGCAATATCCTCAAGGAACTTATCTGTATGTACCCCATTTCTCACTGCTAATGTTGGCAGAGGAGTCAGGAAGTCACATTTTCATCCTTTTGGTGAGTTTCTATGAATGCAAATTTCTACAGGACAAATTAGACCCTATGCACTGAAAGAGTCAAAGCGTGTGTGCTTTCAGGTCTGACAATTCTTCTTTCAGGAATTTAAGCTGAGGAAATAATTGGGAGATTGTCCAAGGATGTGTGCAAAAGATGAATTGCTTAAAAAGAGTAAAGACAACCTCTAAAATTCCAATATAACAGGATAGATTAATTAAACCATGGTACATGAATGAACTAGAATCCAATTAATTATAAGAAAAAATGGTTGGGCTAGAGAGAGCGCTCGGTGGTTAAGAGCACTGGCTGCTCTTGCAGAGGATGTAGATTCAGTTCCCAGCACCCATACGGCAGCTAACAATCATCTGTTACTCCGGTTACAGGGACATCCTCTTCTGACCTCCACAAGCATTTCAAGACATGGGTGCACCTACCTACATGCAAGCAATACACTCATAAACATAAAATAAAAATAATAAATAAAATATTAAAAAAGAATTCTCTACATGTTGATGCTGTGTTGAAAACACAAAGATCCCAAGAGCAGAATGATGCATTTCATTCCTTAAGCAAATCTTTCCCTTCCTCCCTCCTTTTCTTGCTTCTTTTAAAAGAGAAAGAAGGGAATATGGAATTGTTTACAGAACGTTTTTCGTTGCTGCCTTAGACTCATTAAAACTGACATTGTTTAAGTCATTGCTTTTCATGTAGAAACTGCTTCCAGACCAGTTTCTCCAGGGGCAAGGGCTTCCTGGGATGATGGTTAGCTTCTCATTGGGTCTTGCTTCCCTGTCTCCTGTTCTGAGGATGGCTTCTGCCAGAGATGTTCCGCCTTGATTTCCACAGGTCAGGGTTCCTGGCCACCTTGGAGAGCCACCCAGAATCCAACAGGGCTTAAAAACAAGGCTGCAGAATGACAGCAGTTGCTACCCAGGTGCCCAGCCCTGTGCCAGCCTCCTGTGTGAATTCATTTCCGCTCATCAGCCTAGCAAGTAGGTGTGACTACCCCAAATTAGAGGAGGAAACTTTCTTTGCCAAACTTTGATGAATTGCCTAAGTTCCCAGAGTTAGAATTTAAATACAAACTTGGCCGCAAAGTATACAACTTCAGGTCTTAGGTAATATCTCAGCCAGTAAACCACTTGCTGTGCAAGACCAAGGACCTGAATTTGAACCCACCAGAACCCACATTTAAAAAAAAGCTGGGTTTGGTGCATGAGCCTATATGCAGCATTGGGGAGGTGGAAACAGGAGGATCCCTGGGGCTCTCTGGCCAGCCAGCCCAACCTATGTGGTGAGACTGCCTCAAGGACACCATCCAATGAAAAGGGATACTTGTAATTGTCCTCTGGTCGCTACATAAATGTGCACACGTGTGCACACACACCTGTACACACAAATGTACGCAAACACATTTTCCTTTTCACATTATCCCGACTCTGAATTATTTATTCTACTGAACGGCTCTGCTTGCTTGTTTTTTTTCCAAAGTGACTGAAGTAACTGGGGGCTGGGAAAGGAGAATTTAAATATTTTATTTTTGACAAGTTCATACATAAGTATTGTCTTCATACTATTTCCATCCTTCCCCATCACCTTCCTACTCCTCCCATGTCCCCCAACTTCCTTTCAATTTCTTGTCCTCTATTTTGTTTTTGTTACTTCTATATTACATGCATATATATTTACATGCTACATATATTATATGTAGTATATTTTATATATATATAATGCACTGAGTCCATTTAATGGTGCTCATGTGTACCTGTGTTCTGGGCTGGCCATTTGGGATTCCGATAACCTCTCAGGGAGCTAGTCCCTGAAGAACACCGATTTTTCCCTCCCTCAGCATCCATTCATTGTCCATAGCTCTTCATCTTGAGGTAGGACCCCATGACATTTCTCCATCCACCTTCGAATGTCAATTGTCTTTTGTCATTATGCAGATCTTGTTGGACTACCATACTGTGGAGATGTCATTGGTGACGCTTCCCTATCATGTCTAGAATGCATTAACTAGCAGCAGGTGTCTTGTCCCCCTGGCTCTTACATTCTTTCGGCCCCCTCTTCCTCAGTGTTCCCTGAATCTTAGATGTATTGCATTGTAGATGTGTCACTTAGGGCTGGGCACCTCAAAGTCACTTATTCTTTGCATTTGACAAGTTGTAGAACTTTGTAATAGTCTCCAACTGTTACAAAAAGAAGATTCTTTGATGAGTGGTGAGAGGCACTTGCCTGTAAACATTAGCATATGTATTTAGAATACAGGAAAAAATTACATTGGCCTAGGGAAGTGACAGAAGTAGGTTCTTCTCTAGGGTCTATAGCCTCTCCAGCCTTGTGTACTTGGCTATGTTTACAGTACCACACATGATTTCCCTCCCACTGAGTGGGCCTTAAATCTAATTAGACAGCTGTTGATCATTCCCAAGATAAAAGTGCCACTTTTGCACCAATAGAGAGAGTTTGCTGGGCCGGTTGGTCATTGTTGTGGTTTGTAGGCTTTACAGCTGGGGGAGGTTCATTGATTGTTTTTCTCCCTCGGGAGCTTGCATACTATCCTCTGACACTATGAGAGCTAGTCTTTGGGGAAGGGGCTTCCAGTCAGTTCCAGCTCAATTTTTCCAAGTCCTGTGTCCAAAGTATGTCATGTCTTCAGCAATATGGTCTTACCTTCAAGCTCTGGGAGAAAACCAAGGGCTGTGGCAGTAGCCTGTATTATTTTGGAAGTCTCTTGGACTACCCTGACCAACTGGAAAGGAGCTCTCCAATGCCCGGCACTGTGATTTTTATTATACGGCTTTCACCTATACATATGCAGTCACATTTATATTGTATGTGTGCTTTTCAGTGGGTTTATTAAAGACTACATTTCCCTGTGGCTTTTCACACCACCAAAGCATTGCTTATCTCTCTTTCCTCTCTCTACTCCCGTATAGTCCTCCCTGGGAAGGGGGATATTTAATAGGAAGAACTAATTTTACATTTTGTGATCACAAATGTATCTTACTCTTTCCAGAAGGCCTGTTAACAAAATGCTTTCAGGACTTTGAAAAGAAGTACATACACATACAAGCTTATATGTCACCATGTTCCCATGAACATACTGGTGGAAAAATCACTAGATCTGACCTTGGCACCCATTCCAGAGCCTGATCTGTTTAGTCTCTATTCCTTCTACATAGTCATTGATGAAACAGAGACATTAATAGAACAAAATATATGGCATTTATTAAACATACTTGATGTGGGTTGTAATATCAAAGTTGACCGTGCATAAACAGATTCCTCATCCATTTGACAAAAATATCGATTGATAACTGAAAACATTAAATGATTAATCTTCCACAGCATACAAAATTCTCTTTTAAGTTAAAGTGAAAAAGAAAAATAAAACTCACAGCTTGAACAAATACAGCTATTTCAGCTGGTCCAATCAAGGCATAAGGCACAAATTAAAACAAAGGATTAGCCAATCAGAATGAAGCTTGTCTGGCCCGCACAAATCTCTAACCATGGCTCCCACAAGCCTGCACAGAGCCTTCTGACCAGAGGGGAGAGTGCTGCGTGCTGGGAATCCTCTCCAGGTTCAAGTTTTTCCAGGTGCCCATGTTACTTGTAAACAGGCTTCTCTGTGCAGGAGAAACACTGCTGCTAATACTTTTATGGGTAAACAGAACCTTTACACTGTAACAAAACATCCTGCTGTGAATAACATGAAATTCTAATTAATGCCCCTTTCTCGTCCAACCAAAATCCAGTAGAACAGAAAATGGACTGTGAAATCCTTTTAGGATGTCAGCATCCACACGGAAAGTGATGATTCCGCATAGCAGGGTAGGTTGGTTGGGTGCCTGAAATAAGACCTCATGTACCTCGCCCTTCCTGTCCCCTCTGCCTCCATTTTCCTTCCCCTTTTAGAAGCATATCAAAGCCTCAGTGATTCCCATTCTGGCTTACACCGCATCTATGAGGAAGCAGCAATCACTCTCCCCTGACTTTAAGTTGCAGGGTTTCAGGGCCTTTTAGTGTTTGCAAGAAGCGCAGGTCGGAGTGCCTAAGTCAGCGTTTTCTTGGAGGTTAACTCCAGGACTCGTGTGTATGGGGCGTAGCTCCTAGAAGGCAGCACGATTTCCCGAGTCCTGCCTGTTGGACTGAGAGAGAAGAAAAGACAGAACAGGAAGATGAGACAAAACCCTCCATGCAGCAACTCTAGCACTTAAACATGAAAACAGCATAATAATGTGGTTACTATTTCACATACATATTTATAAAGGATTTGCAATGGATTCAATCTTTTCAGTTGAAATATCAGCTCTTACAGTGATGGCATCAGGAGGCAGGACCTTCAGGGGTGATGAGGCAAAGAGGGTAGGGCCCTCGTGAGTGGGACAGATGTCCTTAAAAGAGATCTCAGATGGGCTGGAGAGGTGCTCTTACAGATGACCCAAGTTTTGTTCCCAACACCCATAACTCCAATTCCTGGGGATCCAACGCCCTCCTCTGGCCTCCATGGGCATTGCACACATATGGTGGTGCACTTACATGCAGGCAAAGCACATAAGATTAAAAAATAAAAATGAATAATAATAAAAGAGATCTCAGGGCATTCTCTCATCCCATCTGCCTCATGAGGACACAGGAAAAATGCGGTCTCTGAACCAGAAACTGCATCATAAGCACATTCCAACCAGATACTGAATCTGTCAGTGCTTGCCCAATCATATTCTAAGCAAATCTGAAATCTGTTGGTACTTTGTCTTGGACCTTCTGGCTTCCAGAACAATGAGAAATAAAGTTCTGTTGCTTATGAACTGTCCAGCTTTTTCCGTTTCATCATAAGTTCAAGCACACTGACATTGCCATGAATTTTAGTATCCAGGATTCAGAAAAAAAAAAAAGCATGCATTCAAGAAATGCAACCTTCCACCGGGAAAATACACCAATCATTTTAGCTCAGTGTGTTATGTCCTCTGCTGCCTGCTCTCCATCTGCTGGTTCAGATCTACCCCTCCCTTTCCATCCATTCTGTATTATGTAACGCTGACCTGAAGGTCAGCATCCATTGGCTCTTTGCCCTTTAGCTCTTGGTTCATTTTGACTAACAGGGAGACTGGCAGCAGAAGATTAGAGATGTGGGAAACAGAGAGGTCGGGTCATCTATTCCCTCCCAGCCAGGTTGTGGCCCAGCAGCTAACTACATTCCTCTACATTCCTCTCCCAAAGGTCCAGCTCCAACTCCTTGTTCTCTTTTCCAACCCCGTCAGATCTATGGTGATGCTGTGGTCGGATATGGTCTGACTGACCAACCCCCCCCACCGAGAGTTTTACACACTGGAAGTTTGTTCCTCAGTGTGTCTGTGCTGAGTGGATATGGTCTGACTGACCAACCCCCCCCACACACACCGAGAGTTTTACACACTGGAAGTTTGTTCCTCAGTGTGTCTGTGCTGAGATAATAGAACCCTTCAGAGGTTCTACTAGAGGGGCTCCTGGAGGTGGTTAGGCAAGGGGGGATCCACCTCATGGATGGACCAGTGAGGCCTAATAGGAGTGGACTGGGTCAAATGGGGAAAAATTATCTCTTAAAAACAATTCTTTTAGGGGATGAAGAGATGGCTCAGTGGTTAAGAGTACTGGCTGCTCTTGTAGAGGACCCAGGTTCAGTTTCCAGCACCTGCATGGTGGATAACAGCTGTCCTAACTCCAGTTCTAGGGAATCCAGTGCCCTCTTCTGACCTCTGTGGGCACTGTACAACATGGGTGCACTTACATACCTGCAGGCAAAACACTCATATAGGTAAAACAAAAATAAATAAATTAAAATTTTTATTTATTATTTTTATTTTATGTGTATGAGTGTATGTATAAAAGCAGCCAGTGCTCTTAACCACTGAGCCATCTCTCCAGCCCTGGAAAATTAGTTCCTTAGAGTGGGTGGATACAAAAAGAGTGAACCTTGTCCATTCCTTAGTTTTTGGCTTCCTGTCTCACCACCTGACCTCTCTGTTGTCCACATGCATCCACTGTGACATCTACCTTGAGGCTCCATCAAAGCAAATGAAAGGCAGTCTAGACATGGGGAAAATGCTTTCACCACCCCTAGCTCCAAAGCACACCACTGTCCCTTGTTTGTTTCCCTTACAGTTGTCCAAACATTTGTAAATAGTCTTCATTCAACTCTCTTCACTCTCTCCTTCCTGCCAGGATCATGAGCAACATAGGTGTGGTGCTTTGAATGGGAATGTCCCCCATAGGCTCCAAGTATTTGGACATTTTTGTCCCCAGTTGATGGCACTGTTTTGGGAGGCTTTAGGAGGTGTCTCCTTGCTGGAGGAAGCACGTCACTGGTGGTAGGCTTTCAGAATTCTTAAGCCTTGCAGGATTTCCAGTCCCTCTCTACTTCCTGTGCCTGCTTGAAGATGTGATCGCTGGCTTTCTGCCCTGGCCACCTCTGCTACCATGAATCCCCCCACCCCAGTAATTATGGACTCTAATCCCTCTGGATCATAAGATAAATAAACTCTTCTACAAGTTGCCTTGGTTATGATGTTTTATCAGAGCAATAGAAAAGTGAAATACAATAATAATGAACACATAATGGGTTAACAGGGCAGAAAATATCATAAAATATTCACACCTGGGGGCCCCCAAGATGGCTCACAGGTAAAGCATTTGCTGTGCAAGCCTGATGCCCTGAGTTTGATTCCTAGAACCCACATTAAAAAAGTGATGAGGCCTGGCATGGTGCTGAAGGCCTTTAATCTCAGCACCCAGGAGGCGGAGGCAGGCAGATCTCTGAGTTCTAGGCTGCCTTGGTCTATATAGTGAGTTCTTAGCCAGGGGTATATAGTGAGACCCTGCCCCCAAATAAAAATAAAAATAATACTCTGATGTAGTCATAGGCATCTGTAAACCGAGGACTCATACAGGAGAATCACCTGGAAGCTCATAAGCTAATTAACAGAAACAAGAGCGAACCTGCCTCAAGAAGATGAAAGAGACTCAACTCTCTTGTCCTCTGACCTCACAGTCATGGCATGTATGCACCTGTCTACATGCGCACACACACACACACACACACACACACACACACACACACACCTCTCTATCCCCCCACCCCTACACACACCCACACACCCACATATATACACCACACTTACAAATAAATACAATTATTAAAATAAAAAAATTTAAAGCATCACATCTGGCAGTCCACACAGGGAAAGTGAATCTTGGCTGGTGCCTCACTGTTCATCAAGTGGGCAGAGATGGGAATTCAGGGAATGGGACAGAAGCTTCAAGGACCAAAGAGAGTGAACACAGAGCTTGCAGCTGTGGACCAGGCACGTAGCTGATATGTGTGGAGCAGGTTCTGAAGAAAATAGGGAGTCACCACAGGCCGAGCTGGGCTGATGCTGTTATTCTACCAAGATTCCTGTGTGACTGCCATGGGCTGTCTGTGGAAAGTTTGGTCAGGAGGCAGAAGGTTGGTAAATTCTTGCCAGTAAGAAGATAAAGGAGAGCTCATGAGAATTCTGTTGGAGGCACTACAGGTGACACAACAGGGAAATATTAAAGAGACATTTGAGAGGCAGAATTAACAGGATTTAGTGTCTAAGATGAAGGCAGTCTGTTTTTGTTCTTCTCTGTTGTTGTTACTGGGATTTTTAGCTGTTGGTTGTCTGTTGTGGCTCTAGGGACTAAATCTAGGGCCTCATGCAGGCTAGGCAAGTGCTCTGTCACTGAGCTATATTCCAAGCCCTGCTTTTACTTTTTATTTTAAATCAAGGTTTCACTGAGTTGCTTAAGCTGGCCTTAAACACACCCTGTAACCCAGGCTGACCTTGAATTTTGATCACAAGGATGTACACCAGTCCTAGCTACTGTCCATTTTTAAAATATAGCCAAATATATGATTACATTTCCCAGTCACCCTTGCAATTAGGTGGGTCATGTGACTGAATGTGCAGAGGTGATGCACACTGCTTCAGACTTAAAGATTTAAAGTTCATTTTTTATGTGTCTGTATATGTGTACCTGCATGAACTTACATGTACCGCATGTATATGCAGATGCCCTCAGATCCCAGGTGTCAGATTCCCCTGGAGCAGGAGTTACAAGCAGGTGTGAGCCTCTCAGATGGGTGCTGGGAACCAAACCTGGGTCCTCTGTAAGAGCAATATGTGCTCTTAACCACTGTGCCATCTCCCCAGCTCCCACTACTTCAGGTTTAAAAAACAGCACAACCTTCTGCACAGTCTTGCATGTTCACTATCTCTTCCTTTTATGCAGATGATACAGCAGTGGAGGGGGGGGGTCCAGAACTCTAAAGCGCAAGGTGGTTACTAGATAGAAGAATCTTAGGTTCCTAAACAACTGTGTAGAATGAGGCCCATCCCAACCTGTCCTTATCCCAACATGCAATGGCCAAATTCACTTGAGGCATGAGAGTCAACTTCCTTTCTACTTGCTTCCCATGTCCAGTTATTCATAACGTGTACAGGCTGTATCACAAGTGTGTGTTTGTGTGTGTGCGTGCGTGTGTGTGTGTGTGTGTGTGTTCAGATCTCATGTGTCACAGGTCTCCCCTGGGAGATTTGCTATGTCTTTTCCACATGCTCCATCCCCCAGCCACATTGAAAATGACTGTTACCTGAGCTTCTGACACACCAGTGGAAATGTCTCATGTCATCGTGTGCATTTGTCTCCACTGTTAGTTCTGGTTTCTGAGAGTGAAAACCACTCATCTTTATGACCTCAGCAGCTCACACAGGCTGAACATGGGAGCCTTCAGTCCACACAGAGATGAGAGTAGAAACCAGAGGGAGTTTGAGGTGGGAGTGTCACAGTGTCACCAGCCGCACAGGAACCCATGGGGTGTGGACCTTCAAGAAGGCCTCTGGTGGCCTGGCCAGGAAGATCAGGGGGAAGGCAGAGGCAGAAACCAGATGCCAATGCCTATGAAAATTCCACATAACAGAAATGGTCTCCTGTGATAGTTATCCTAAAACCCATAAAATGTAGAAATATTTATAAAGGTGAGCCTTCTTGGTTTCAAAAACAGGCACTCACATCCCAACCTTTCAAAAAAAAAGTCCTGGGGTATTTTATTAAGCTGATCACTAGGAAACAACAGGACTTCAAGAGCACA